GAGCCTCTCCAGTAGCAGGTGATGGTCAACAGTGTCAAAGGCTGCAGTCAGGTCCAGCAGGACCAGAACAGAACAGTTCCCAGCATCACTGTGAGTCAGAAGGTCATTAGAGACCCTAAGAAGAGCTGTTTCAGTAGAATGAGCTCTACGAAAACCTGACTGGAAGCTATCATAGATGTTATGTTCATCAAGAGTAGCTGTGAGCTGTTTAACCACAACCTTTTCCAAGATCTTGGAGATGAACGGAAGTTTAGAGATGGGTCTGAAGCTGCTATGGAGAGAGGGGTCGAGACTCGTTTTTTTAAGAAGCGGGTGGATTACAGCATTCTTAAAGTAAGCAGGGACCTGACCAGAGACCAGAGAAGCATTAATTATAGAGAGCACGCTGGGACCGATGGACTGAAAAGCACTTTTAAACAAAGATGAGGGTAAGATGTGATGACTGTTGCTTGACTTGCTCCGCCCCAGCCTCTGCCATCTGGTCAAGAAGTCTTCTCATATTGATCAAACCTGTTGAATGACAAATACATAACACATATTTAATATATCTGGCAATTAAGTTTTGATAGAAGATGCAACAAGAATTGTTTTTAGTAATACATGCCTTACAAATACTATAATTTGTGTCGACAGACTCGTATAATTGAACTTTAAGTATGTTGACAGGATTGAAATGAATAAGAAACAGATTAAGGTATGATATTAAATTACAAAATATTACCTGCTTCAATGATATCGTGCCTCTCAGTCCAGGTGGTCTTGAACTTTGGAAGAAGGATTGCAGCAGCAGTCAGCTCAGGGTCTTCCATCATCTCACCAAAGCACTTTTGGACACCATCCTGAAGAGTGGCAGACACATCTTGGAGACAGTCTCCAGTCTGCTGAGTTTTTCTTTTAGCTGGAAGATCACTTGAGGGGCGGGACTAGGAAGCTCAAAAATGACCAATCAGAAAAAAGAAGGAAATCCCGACCGTACCACACGACGAGGTAGATTTCTAGTTGTAGTATAAAAAAAAAATTGAATCTGGCAATGGCGCAAACATCTTTTATTTTTTAGAAGAAATGCTTTTAGCACTTCTACTTGTGGTTTTAAAGACATCTGTGTCATTTAGAAAAGAGGAAAGAGCCGCAGCGAACTCCGCCGCTGTCTTCGTTGTTTATGAGAAATTGAGCATCGCCGTGTATGACGTGAATTAAACAGGAGGAGTCTGGCAGGCCAGGCTATCTTTCTCGTACCATTAGCGCCTATTTTCTTCTCCTACCCACCATTCATTGCACTGTAAGGTCACTGATCACACTAAGAAGTTCAACTCACCTGTTGACCCTTCAGACATCCCTTCATTCCTTCTCACAAGCTTTGATCTTCTTAGGTGATCCTCCAGTCATCCGAATAGTCAGTTAGTGTTTCTTATCCTTTCCTTCGTACCCCGTAACACACACACTCTCGTAACTTAAGCACTCAGTTCTTCTGGTGCGTGCCTTCAGCGTCCGCAGCACTTCCGTGTTTGGGTCTTACCAGTATAGACATATATATAGACACTTCGTTAAGCGCTGGATCACTCTCAAGTGCGTTAAGACGCTTCTACATATGTATGTGTTTATACTCTCGTCTCTCTTCTCTGTGGTGTCTGAGTCTGAATCCAGTGCGAACCGTGCCGACACAGTATTTTGCAATGTTGTTTTTTTTTTTACTCGGTAACGGATAAGATAAAAAATGTAGCGAAGTACAATACTTACAAAAAACAATACTTAAGTAAAAGCAAAATTACAGATTTTAAAAACTACTTAAAACGTATAAATGCGCAAAAAATCTACTCTATTACTGTAATGCAAGTAAATGTAATTCGTTACTTCCCACCTCTGGCACTAATCCAGGATGTCATGGAGGTTCTAATGTTGAAATATAGAGATCATCTTTTAGATTATATCTGTGTGTGTGTGTGTGTGTGTGTGTGTGTGTGTGTGTGTGTGTGTGTGTGTGTGTGTCGTAGCTTTCCCAGAGGACTTGTTCTTTCCTTACCGGAGCTAAGACGGTTAGCAGTTTTGCTGCAGTCATGCTAACGGGACTTGTCTAGAGTCCAGAAGTAGCGGTGCGGTTCTAGATGGATTTATAGATGTAAGTTATTATTTTAGATCAGACCTGTTATTTAAAAATGCGTGTAGGACACAGACACATGGCTCAGACCTTTTGCTGCAGCTGTAAACGCAATTTTACGTCATAATTAGGAGCATGAAAGTAAACAAATAACAGTGATTCACAATATTAGCATCAGCAGCTAGCTTGTTTTATGTGCTGGATTGACGTATGCGAAACACAGTTCTTCACTGTCTGGAGGAGAGGATTTGGATTTTCTGTAATGATTTATGACAAAAGTCCTTAATAAAATAAAAAACTGGACCCAGTACATGTTAATATAGATAATAAAGTGTAGTTATTTTGCATTTCTACAATTTTAATGCCGAGCCAATAACTTTAACCCTTCACCGCTGAAATCAGTTTGTTCATTCCAATCCTCCTAAATAATCCTCCAATCATCCAACTGGAATCCTTAAGGGTCCCGTAACGTCCATCCTGTCAGAACAGGCCTTGGGAGCCCAGGTGTTACTAGAACTAATGGTGTCTCCTCACCAGCGTGAGCCTCCAAACTGTGAAGGTTGGTCTCCAAACATGAACTTCAAATTCATGCATTTATCTCCTCTTGTAACACTTTTAACATGTTTTAAAGGCTTGTATCATGATAAATTACACCTCCCAGACCAAATATAAGATAAAACATTATCATAAACACTGCAGAGACATCATTGTTTATTAAATACAAGTTATTTTCCTGAGCCATTACTTCAGCCAAGATATAGGATGCATGGATTTGATGAAGCCATGCTGTCTTATGCAGTCCTACACACACACACACACACACACACACACACACACACACACACACACACACACACACACACACACACACACACACACACACACACACACACACACACAGCAGCAGCATGTTAGAATGATGTGAATGACTAATTTAACTACACTGAACTGCTTTTGTAATAATTTAATCTCTTATTCTGGAGTAAAATAAAGAAACAAGCTAAATCATCACATATCTGTGGCATCAAGAAGCATCTTCTGAGTTCAAACACAGGGATGGAGCACAATGTTTACACCTGAACAGTATCAGGATTAACTAACAGAGGCCTGCAGGTCTTCTGTTTTATGAGCAGAGTGCTGAGAATCGGCTTGTTGCGCTAAACGTTATTTTGCCGCTTCCGTGCGTGGTATAGAAACACATTTCAAACACGGAACTGAGTCTGGTTGCCGAACCGAGCAGAATTCTGATGACGTCACACCGGTGCGCGAAGGTGCGGGTTCCAACCCACAGGAGAGGAGGGAGACAGGAGGTAAACAGCAAGTGGATCACAGGGACTGAACTGATGTGTTTGAGCAAAACTGCGGTAAAAATGGCTTTTTGTCCTCATCATAAAGCGTGTAGCCCCCCCTCCCCGGTTTAGACGCGGCGCTCATGCAGGTGTCTCTTTCTCTTCCGACGCTGCTACACGTAATATTTTTAATTTATTAAGCCTACAATTTATTTTTACTCAGTAACGGATATGATTTAAAATGTAGCGAATTACAATTCTTTTTTAAAAACTTACTCAAGTAAAAGTAAAAGTACAGATTTTAAAAACGACTTAAAAAGTATAAATTTACAAAAAAGCTACTCAATTACAGTAACGTGAGTAAATGTAATTCGTTACTTTCCACCTCTGCAAATAAATGACTACAACATTTCCCCCTGTTAAGTGCAGTAGACTGAAATGAATAGCTTTATTTGGAAATATAACAAATCTAATTTTTAATGGACTTACATAAAATCTTTCTTCAACATAGACCCCACTAATGAACTGATCAGGTGTTATTTTTTATGAAAAGAAGAGAGAAAATCCACAAAAGTAGGAAAGGAAAAGAAAGTGATAAAATAATAGGTTTTGTTAAATGTTCTTTAGATAATGAATTAATTGACAAAGTTTTTGCAGGGTGTGACAAAAAACGTTCGAGGTCAAGCTCCTGGGGCTAAGCCCCCCCCCCCATATCTCAATCCTAGTGACGTCCATGGATCCCACCTCCGCTTTAGCTTTGGATTAGCTTCAGGGTAGCTTGTAGCTAGTTCGACCGGGTGTCATCATTTGATCCCAGCCTTACAGCCCTACCCTCAGCTCCACCTCTCTTCCCTTTTGTGGAATTGTCTGGGCTTGACGGAACCTGTGACACGGTCAAAATGGCGGTGGTAGCCACCTCCCATTTTTCCTCAAAAACGTGTTATTGGGGTCTATGGAAACCCATTGTCCGTATATGTATATGTCGATGGTTCCGGTCTTAGCGGTCTAACAAGGACCGGCGAGGACCCGTACTCAAGCATCCTACCCATGGATCCGGACACACCCACTATTTATATGTCTCTCTCTCTCTCTCTCTCTCTCTCTCTCTCTCTCTCTCTCTCTCTCTCTCTCTCTCTCTCTCTCTCTCTCTCTCTCTCTCTCTATATATATATATATATATATATATATATATATATATATATATATATATATGTGTGTGTGTGTGTGTGTGTGTGTGTGTGTGTGTGTGTGTGTGTATAATATATGGGCTGGTTTAAATGTTTATTTATGGGATATCCCCATTAATCTGTTTTATGAGGATAAAACGGGAAAAAAATTCTAATGAGTCAGAATGTCAAACTTTATGTTTTGCCTGTATAAAGAATAAATGTTTAGGAAGAAAATGACAAAATGGGAAGAACAACTGATTACATTATTTATAGTTTAATTTACAACCTGCGTGGGTGCTCGCTCCCGAGCCCACCTGACCACATGGCCTTATCTCAAACCAGGTAGATGCGGGTCATTGTCCTGACGTCGCCTTAGAGCGCAGCAGGTGAGTCTCAGGTAAACGTGACGTCATTCTGATACTTTTGAACTCCTCGGCAGTAAATCTATAAAGGTGTGTAGTCCCTAGTGCACAGGTATCCTGGTAGTTATCATCCTGAACCTTAGACTGAAGCGAAACCAGAACGGGGCCTGTACCATGCACCAGGAGGTGTAACTCACCTGAGAGAGCCCCCACACCTGTCCAGGACACCGGGATGTACCCCAACTCCCAGTCGGTGCGACACCCGGCTCAGACGCTGACACTGAACAGTCAGTACATCCCGCCTTCGTATGACTTCACCGGCTATCAGCATCACGTTTCCGGGGTCATCGACCCACTACCGAGTGCCTGGAACCCCGTTTACGCTCCCGGGGAGGAATTCCCCTTCAGCTTCGCGGGTTCGAGCCCCGGAGGCGGACAGGTGAGCTTCACCTCCCCGGAGCTGAGCAGCGCGCCCTCAGCCGCTGCAGGAGGGTCATTCCCCGGCTACAGCTTCCTCTCAGGACAGGACCCGTTCAGCTCCAGGAGGAGACCACCAGAGCCAATCAGACAGACGCTTACAGGTAGGACCAAGCAGAGTTTATGTCTCTTAACCCCGTAAATTACGAGTTTATGTTTTATTATCGCGCTTATTTTCGTGTCACAGTCAGTCATGCATACATAGATTATAGCATGCAAAGTAGCACAAAATTACCACAAACTGCACAACCCAAAACCTTTGTCTTTGACAGCTATTTGTCTTGCTGTCACCCCTCCCTTCCGGCAGCACGGCTGGAGAGGTCAGTGCACAACTAATAATGGAGACCATGTCAGCGCAGCTATCTCTCCACACCCTCTCTGTCCTGTAGGTGCAGAGCTTTGACAAATACTGTGAGATGTCTGCAGGAAGTCACACCAAATGTTTAAACTCTCAGCTGTGTGTGCGTATGCATGGATCTGCTCTGGTCAATGTGTTCCATGGTAAATTTTTCCAATCGATAGTGCTGACAGTGAGTACGTGAACACATGAATGAATGGACGCCTATGAAAACACCTATGTAAACACTCCACAGTGATAAGGAGGCAGAGAGGAGTCCTTGCGTTATGCAGGGTGATTAATAGTACTGATGGGGATTTAAGTGGCGCCTGAACTTCAGCTTGGCTCCAGACATGTTTGGCCTTTCCTCTACAACACATGTGACTCACCGACACATTCCTTCCTGTTGCATTGTGGGAAAAGAGGAAGGTGTAATCATCACACATGGATGAATAACTCAACTGTATTTACTTACATTTTAAAATGCACCTGATTTTGCACGTTTGTTTTGTGTGACTCAGGAGGAAAGACGCGGACAAAGGACAAGTACAGGGTGGTGTACACTGACCACCAACGGCAGGAGCTGGAGAAAGAGTTTCAGTGCAACCGCTACATCACCATGAGGAGGAAGTCAGAGCTGTCGATGGCTCTCAGCCTCTCAGAGAGACAGGTCAGAGGGGTCACAAGAAGAACAACATTAGAACAGCTCTTAAGCTAACGTCCAACATTCTTGGCGGATTTGCAAATCACCCTTCATACCAGAGTTTCTAACTACAATGTTGAGAAATGTTGGGGTTTGACTTGTTCCGGTAACATTTCAACAACAAGGTTATGTACAATGTTGTACAACATATCTAGCACATCCTGTTTGCATCTGGGGGTTTCTGATGTAGATGACTCCAGTTAGATGAAAATCTAATACACTTTTTGTTCAGATCAGTCCAGGCACAGCGTCTCAGCTGTGGGTCAAAATAACCTGACATGCTGAAAATCCTTCAGATTAAACGTCTAGAACGGTCCTCTAGAGCGAGAGGACTTCAAAACGATCCAGCTCAGACCCACAAAATAACGACAAGAAAAACTGCAACGCTAATATTCACTGGGGAGGACTGAACAAACATGGCTAAACAGATCAGTTATGCAATGAAAACACAAACATCAACTCATCTACTTTTACTACAAACTTTTGTTACAGCTAATGAAAAAGTGTTTTATTAGGGTTCTCGTGTCTATCTGATTTCTGGAGATCACCTCAAGAGTTTGGTGACCAACAGTGAGGTCCTCACCACATCTTGGGGACCCACTCATGGACGCATAACCTTCATTAAGACCGAGACAAATAGGAGACCTGATGATATGGATGCTGCTTTAAAGCATAAATGATTCATTCAGTTTTAGATCAGTAGACGATTAAAGAGGGCACATTTTTTTCAATTAGCCTGCTGTGGTCTCTATGAATAAATCTCTCGTGAGTTGTAGAAGTTAGTCGGATGGGTGAAGGTGGAAATTATTCATGATATGCAAACATTTCTCCTTTGATTGGCCAACACCAATAACGCTCTTCCATTGCCTATATTCACTCATCTTTCTTGGGTGAAAAATGCTATGATGATGCTTTATTTTTCACAAAAAAAAAAAAAAAAAAAACCAAGCCTGAGTGAAATAAGGCTTGTAGGACTTCTCAGCGGCCACCCTGGGACTGGGAGATCAGGGTTCAAATCCCGGTTGGGTCATACAGACTCCAAAAAATGGAACCCAGTGCTTCTCTGCTTGACACTCAGCTTTAAGTGGTGGGATTGGGGGATTAAATAGTTCCCAAGCACAGCCACTGCTGCAGCTCACCTCTCCCCATGGGGATGGGTCAGATGTGGAGATGTACTTTCACAAACGTGTGATGATGTGATGACTTTACACTGTTTTCATGCTCAGCCTGCACATAAAACTCAGAAAGTATGATCACATTTCAAAAAGAAAAAGTAAAAAAAAAAAAGGTTTTTCAATGAACCTGCTCTTTAAAAGTGAGCATCGAGCCATCCCGTAAATGTAAATATAGGGTCTGGCCACGACCCATAGACAGAGCTCAGTCATGGGGCTGAATCTACGGTGGTCTTTCAAACAGTTTCTGCACACAAATGGGATAGTGCTAGGATCAATCAGAGCAACAAACAACATGATGTATTAATCTCCACAGAAATCAGTACACAGGGCAGTCCTCCATGCACCATAGAAGAAAAATAGATTAAAATAGAGAGAAAGCACACAAAAGCTTAAGAAGTCCAAATCATCCAAAGCTGATGCCAAATCCATTTCAAGCGAGCACAGTTTCTGAGCCATCTTTGTAGTTTTTCTTCATCACAGCTCTGGTGTTAAGCCCACCTAACAAAGGCAGAGCACTGTGGTTGGCCAGACCTTATACTGTTTAGGCCAGTGGTAGACCTGCTGCTACCACGGCTGGTCTAGGTTTCTAGGTGTTCTAAAATAAAATGTTTTATTTTATTTTAATTACCTTAAAAGACTCAAAGTCTCTTTTTACACTTTATATTTATTTAATCAGGATCGTTGTCAAGTCGACGCCAGAAACAATGAAACACAACTTGAATATCAGATGAACAACAAGGCTTTATTCAACCGGCATTCATACAAGTTATCAATCATGAACGAAACATTTCTCTTACCGTTGCTTATGGGTGGAGAGCTGAACACCCCAGTTAGAAAACGTAATCCATGAACCTCGTCAAATAGAATCCTTCAAACAGCTCTAACAGCTCTGAGCTCTGCTCTGCTCCTTATACATTCCCTGATGTGCGTGCAAAGCTGCACACCTCCACCAGGATTACCTTGATTACATCCTCATGATCACATTATGTTCGGCTCTCCTTGATTACATCCTCATGATAAGTGTGATTGACAAACAGTAGTGATCAATAACTTGTATAAAGCAATTATACAACAGATGACAAGTTCATTTTTATTACATTCCACTCTTGAACTTTTCATCTAATTTATGTAACATATCCATCACCATTTCCCCATCAAAACCAACGTCATTTATAACATACCTTGTAGTTCCACTTTAATTTTCATCGTAGTCTTTGCATTATTACCCAATTTATTTCTCTTCTTAATCGAATAACATACCAACAAATAATAAGATTACACAATGTTAGAATGCTGATTATAATTAATGCTGCAATCATAGGTGGAATTAGCACTTTATTAGCGGTACTCGACATGCCTGTAAATATATCCCACCAATGATGAGCGGAAGCCTGTTCAATCAATGTAGCAACATGTTTTATTTCCCCTTGTGTCACAAGAGTAGACACCATGAGCCTGGAAAGGTTGGACCTATGAGAGTCAATCAATTTTGCCACTTCAGTGGAACCATCCAATGCGCATTTGAATCGTTCCAGTGAGAGTGTCCAAGGGGAGTGTAAAACCTCCCATTGTATCTTAGTCAGCCGACTAGATACAGTGTAATTACTCAACCAATAGGTCACGTTATTCCATTCCCACATATGTATACCCTTGAGACAACCTGAAAAGGGAACTGAAGGTACCTGTGGGGAATTGGTCATTGTAGCCACGCATAAGGTGTTAGGACCCACCTGCCAAAACTGTTCCTCTGGGGGTGTGACCGTCCAATCACAGAGTACGACCCTTGAATCAGTGAAACATGGATTGCTATGTCCTTTTACCAATGGGCAGGCTAAACCCTTATCAGTCTCATCACAGTGTTTTACTTCATATGTTCGATTTGTTTTAACATCCCACCACTCTCCACTAACATGGAGATACCAAAACCCTTTAGTGGTTATCACCGGCAGTATCTGATATCTACACACAGTCATTACTGATGTCATATTATACTGATCCCAGTATCCAGTACACATAGATTTATTACAAATCGTCATTTCTGCATGTAGCTGTAGCCATAATGAACTACTGATGTTCCATAATGTTCGCCATGCATGATAGTTATTACTCATTACCTGTATTTGAAACCTATTTCTCTGTGTCTCAGCATGAATAGTCTGCAAGGAACAGACTGTCCAATTACCTATGTGTGACAAATTATGCAATGCATCATAAGTTTCATTCCAAAGCTTTAGATTCCATTTAAATACACTTTTCCACACATCACTTCCTTCTAGCTGACTAGATACAGTCGAAGGCATCCATCTTGCAGTCTTGGTGACAGCTTGTGCGGTGTATTCTCCAGTGTTGGACAGCATAGTTCGTGTCACCTCATTGTCTGCTGTGTTAGCCAGACCATACAAAGTTCCAGTTCCTCCTAGCACGGTGTCATACCATGCTCGCCTCCTCCTGTTACAAGGCGGAATAGGAGGGAATTTCACAGTCCATCGCACATATTCGGCTACCCTTATTTGTCCCATTTGTTGACAAGTGTGAACCAGGGGAGCTACAGCTGTCTGCGTAGCTCTAGCTGTGTCGGGCAGCACCCAGAATATGTACAAATAGGCGCGTCCTCCTGTGATTACAGTTCCATTCCTGATCCGGAAATCGCGATCAACCTTCATACTCCAATTTGTGCCATTTTGTATGCAAGTACCATTCCCCTGATGGTATGCACAGATGCACGCTGCAGAATTAAAGGTTACTGTTGATCCTTGAACCAACACCCCCGGGCTGATCACCCTTCCTCGGATTTTAAGACATCCTCTGCACCGGTACATCTTACCGGTAGATGTTAGGTTTCCCAAGTAGCAAGCGTCATTTGCTCTGCATGTGAATGTGCCTTGAGTGCGGTTGGACATACTGCTAACCAATTCCAGATGGCCCATGACCCCTTCTTCCAACACTTGTCCTTCCGTGAGCCCCCAACAGAAATGTGCCCTCAGTGCGATGACAGCGAGGACATGGAGGACGATGACCAAACATCCGACACCACCAGGTCCGTGGAGCCCATCCATCGCCTCGACAAAGGTTCAATCCTTTTGTAGGGGAAGGGGACCCAGTCAACCACCGTCACTCAGACACCCGCCTATGGGATACATACAAAACTGCAGATAGAATGACAAGCATTAATTTTCTCTCCTGTAACATTTGTTTATCGGAATATTAATCCATTTTTCCTCTCCGGGGAACAATACACTTACCACAGCATCTTTTCCCTGTGCAATAATCTCTCCAGCTCTGGGAGGACCATTGAGCTGCTCCACCCACACTTTTGCCCCCGCAGTAAAGTCTGATGATTCAAACCCAGTTTCACCCCTCTGAGTGATAGTGGTAGGTTTAGTAATCTCTTCAACTTTGGACATTACACACCGTTTGATTACTAACTGAGCTATCTTGTCTCCTTTTTTCCAGTACCAACGGTTCTTTACCTGTATGCTGACACACCACACCTATTTCCCCTTGATAGTCTGAGTCTATTACCCCAGCTAAAATGGTTAGACCCCTCAAAGCTAAACCACTTCTTGGACACACATGAGCATAAGTTCCTGGTGGACATTGAATTCCCAATCCTGTTTTTACCACTGTCACTTTATTGGTTACTAAAGTGATGCTTTCCAAGATTTTAAGATCTAATCCCACAGAGCCCGCAGTTGCTCTAACAGGGAGTTCTGCCTCAGAAGTTAGTTTCCACATTCGTATAGGAGGGTCAGTAGAAGTTGTTTCCCTTCCTGCCCTGGCAACCATTAGCATCAGTGGAGTAACTCCATCCCCCACGGGTCTGTTATTTAACTGATGTACTGCCCTAGTCAGATTTTCTCTCCATTTGTCCAAAGAATTAGTAACCGATAGTTTCCTTAGTTTCTCTTTCAGTAACCCATTCATTCTCTCAATGAGTCCACTAGCTTTCGGGTGATATGCTACATGATAGATCCATTCTACCGCGTTGTTCTCTGCCCATTCTTTGATCTTATTTCCAGTGAAATGGGTACCATTATCAGTCTGAACCTGCAAAGGTAGTCCATAATAGGTCTCTATTAATGACAGACATTTCAATGTAGCCTCCTGATTGGCGTTATGACACGGATGCACCACCAGTACCCCTGACACCGTATCCACGGCTGTGCATGCATACTTACAGTTTTTACTTTTTGGCAATGGTCCAATGAAATCAATCTGCCAACACTGTCCCGCTTGTTTACCTCGATGTATCTGTCCCTGTATATGTCGAGGGATTCTCTTTTTCTGATGTTGACAAGGTTCACAATCTTCTATGGCAGTTTTAATATCATCAATGATGAGATCTATTCCTCTGTCCCTCGCCCATTTCAATGTTCCCTGCACACCCCAATGTCCAGCAGTAACGTGAGCCCATTTGGCTAATCCAGGACTTGATTGTCTTACAGCCTGAATTTTCACTATCTTATCTACAGTCTGATTATGCAGGGATTCAGGATCATTGTTATTAGTATGAGCATCCACATGTAATACTGACACAGGAATATTTTGGCATTTCTCCCAAATGTCCTTCCATAGGTCAGCTCCCCAAACCTCTTTTGAATGTATCTTCCATTGTGTAGCATGCCAAGTTGGCATCCAAGTTAACATTCCTTGGGCTACTGACCAGGAGTCAGTATAAATACTTACTCCCTGCACCCCAGCCGCCATTATTACCATGTGTACTGCTTTCAACTCCGCCCATTGACTACTCTTTCCTGTCCCTGTGAGTTCCATAACTTGTTGTGTACCAGGGTTAAATGCCCCAGCCTTCCATTTCCTGGTTCCTGCCACATATTGACAGGAACCATCAGTGAACCAGGCTCGCTCCTGCTGCTCTGGGGTGAGTTCGCTCCATCTTACCCCCAGTTTCACAGGAGAATCCTGGATTGGTTTTACCTCAAAAGGCACTTCATCCATTTCTGGAACGTCTGCCACTTGCTCGTGGAGCATTGATACTCCTTTTTCTACAATGTTTCCCTTTATTTTATCAGGATTGCCATGAATTACCGAGGCCTCCGCCCCAGTGTCAACCAATGCCATTACTGTCTGTACTGATTTTTTCCAATAAATCTGTAATTCCACATGTGGTCTGATATCATTTATTGACCATCCTGAGGCACTGGCAACAACCTGAGCTTGACCTTCATCCTATTCATCATCATGTTCCCTTCGGTGCTGTTTTTTCTTTCTACGCTTCACTGCCGCCACCTGATAACACTCATCTGAACTCTCCTCCTCTGAAGATTCCTTGGGAGGGGCGGAAGGTTCAGCAGGCTTCGACGCCACCTCCCTGATCACATTCTGCAAAATTCCAACCAATTCTGACACAGACATCCTGTCGTCCTTTTCAGGACAATGTCTGAACTGACAATGGACCTTCAGTCCCATTTGGCTGCATTTCTCCATCAATGCATTAGTGGGCAATCCATCAATCTCCTCAAACGGCACTCCCGCTTGTCGCAGTGCCCTCCACAGATCTGTTCTAGAGGGGCCCATTGCCCCCCCTTTACGACCCCTTGAATGTGGATCAATCCTGGGTTTATTTTCAGTTCTAGCTCCCTCTCTCCTCGTCTCAGACCAATCACCCAGCGTGGTGAGTTCGCCAAGACGATCTTTTATCGCGGCAAAAGTCTGGTCTGCCGCGCCAAACAACAAGCTGGTCACCATGGGTTTATAATGTGGTGGGGCATGTCTGATGAGGTGATCTCTAGTTGCCTTAGAGATGTTACCGTCCACCACTCCAGCTCCCCCGTTTCGAGCCACTTGCTCTCTAATAGTGAGTCTGGTGAGCCGCTGAATGGCATCTCTCACTGTCTGCCATTGCCCTTTAATCTCAGACCAGTCCGCCGTGGTAGGATAGATTACATGACATGCCAGAGCATATGCATCCCCCACATTGAAATCTTCATCAGCTGGCAATGCCCGGACTGTAGCCCTGTATTCAGCATTTATCTGTGCATCAGTACTTAATCCTGAAAATCTCATGGCATCACCGGCATCTATGGCTATATCACACGCGCCATCCTCCATAAGGCGATTAAGCCAGGAGTCAGTTGGTTCGCCTGGGCGCTGTTTCAGCTTCCCATTCATGTGATTTAACTCATCTTGTGAATAATCCTCTAGCGTTGTTAGCAGCCTAGGGGCGGGTTGTGGCTGCTGTTGTAACATCCTTCTTATATTACCCGCCTCATCGAGTTCCGGCCGTCCCTGATCATCCACCATATCTACCAGTATTGGTGGAATAATTTGCTGTTCTCGCCGACGCCTAGTAATAGGTCTTTGTTCTGACATCTTTATCCCCTGTAATGATGGATACAAGGGCTGAGGTGGTGGGTCAGGTTTAATCGCCCACTCTTCCTCCTCATCATCCCCCCAAAGATCCCCGTTCCATTTCTCTGGGTTCCAATCTTCACCAACATTCTTTACAAACGCCCGGATCTGAGCAGGACCTGCTCTACGAGGTCGCTTCTTTTCCTTCCTTTGCGCTCGAGACACAAAAGTCAGCGTTTTATCCAAAACATTCTGAGCATGCTTTAGCTCTTTCCCCATCACACACACTCTCTGCTCAAACTCTGAGCATGATTTTTCAATTTCTTCAGCATGGATTTTCTCCTGCGCCGCTCGCTCTCTACAACTGCTCAATTCTAACTCCTGTTTTTTCCATGCTTCTGCAAAAAGCCACATCATATCTCTCACTCCTGCCAGCGGCGCTTTTTCTTTAACTTCTATCCGCGTCAAACGGTCCAGCACCACGGCGGGGCTGACCACTCCATTTAACTCTCCCCACGGCCCAGGGCGTCCACCGCGCTGCCTTAACATATCACCAATGGTTCGGAACTCCTCCGTTTCCCAGCCGGGAATCGGCACGGGAATCGGCGTTCCCTCCCCAGAAGCACTCGGCTCCTTTTTGCTTCTCCAAAAACACTTCATTGTTGCTGGAATAGCTTGACTGATCCTGTTCGTGACGCCAAAAATGTTCTAAAATAAAATGTTTTATTTTATTTTAATTACCTTAAAAGACTCAAAGTCTCTTTTTACACTTTATATTTATTTAATCAGGATCGTTGTCAAGTCGACGCCAGAAACAATGAAACACAACTTGAATATCAGATGAACAACAAGGCTTTATTCAACCGGCATTCATACAAGTTATCAATCATGAACGAAACATTTCTCTTACCGTTGCTTATGGGTGGAGAGCTGAACACCCCAGTTAGAAAACGTAATCCATGAACCTCGTCAAATAGAATCCTTCAAACAGCTCTAACAGCTCTGAGCTCTGCTCTGCTCCTTATACATTCCCTGATGTGCGTGCAAAGCTGCACACCTCCACCAGGATTACCTTGATTACATCCTCATGATCACATTATGTTCGGCTCTCCTTGATTACATCCTCATGATAAGTGTGATTGACAAACAGTAGTGATCAATAACTTGTATAAAGCAATTATACAACAGATGACAAGTTCATTTTTATTACACTAGGCTAGGTTACTAGTGCTCATGTTTGAGAACCTGAGAACTTTTTGAGTACTGCATTAACGTTACCTTTGCTTTACTGGTGATCTGACCAAAGAGTGTTCAGACTGTTTTCTGAAGAATTTTAACAGTTATTTCCAGTTAGCCTGAGTAGAACAAAGAGGGGACAGAAAATGGATGTGCTGGTCTCAACAAGAACGTCACATTCATACTGGTGACTACATGACAGTAGAAATAAATATGTCTCCCATTGAAAAAAGGTTAAGAGGTTTTTGAAAAATTGTGATAACATGTCATGCTAAAAAGAAAAAAATCCCACTGGTTTCCTCTTTTCTTCATTGCTGGCAGAGTGCGGCTACCACTTGGCTAAAAGTGGTGCAACTAAACCGCCCACCCACACCCTGTTTCAAAACAAGCATCAAGAGTATTGATAAATAAATCTGAATTTATAATTTCATACAATTGGTAAACTGTAGTAGTGACAGTTGTGTTAGTGTATTTGGCAGCCATGGTGTCAGATGTACAGTCATAACAGTTTGTTTCTGATTCTGAGAAACCAGCATCAGACCGTAATGCTCTTGTGGCCAAATACATCAGCAGCTTCAATGGTAAAATGTTGGCTCGTGTTCTCACGATGCTCTTATTGTCATTAACGTCTCTCCAGTCGAGTCGTTTAGCCTCACTAACCCACAGCTGGGTGCAACAGCTGACACATCCAGAGGAGCTCAGAGGAAACTCGACATTTCCATCTAAAGCGGAAGTTAGAGAGAGAAACGAGTGGAAATGACCCAGAATTTACCCGTTCGACAGGAAGAGTCAAGCTATTTTTATGGAGGATCCGTGATACGAGGTTGTGTTGCCGTGGGTTACAGTCCTCTCCTGTTTGTGTTTATCAGGTTAAGATCTGGTTTCAGAACCGACGGGCCAAAGAGAGGAAGATCAACAGGAAGAAGCTGCAGCATTCTCAGCAGGCGTCCACAACGACCCCCACCCCGCCTGTGATGGGAGCCCACGCTGATGTTCCCATCAGCCCTGGCACTAGCTTGGTGCCAACAGACATAAAATCAGAGGAATACTAGTTGGGTTTCCTCAGACCAAAACCAGAGTGTAAATACTTTTTTATTTGTACTTTTTTACAAAATGATGACTTAATTAATAATTATTCACAGTAAAATGACGTAGTAATGCTGCACCACCTGCCTTAAGCAAGGTGACGCTCCACTGACACCAGATCCACCGAGCTGCTATGATTTAAACACTTCTGTGTGTTAAATTAAAATATCAACACACGCTCACTTTGAGGTATTTGATCTGCTTGCTCAGTATTTGTTTTTTAAGATAATAAAATATTGGAAAGTGTTTGTTAATAGAACAAAGCTGGTTTTTGTGTCTCCTGCTAATGAAAAGAGGAAACTACTCATCTTTGTGCCATGTTAACAAAAATAGAATAGAATAGAATAGCCTTTATTGTCATTGTACAGGGTACAATAGAATTGGAGTGCCACTCCCTTTGGTGCAAAATGTAAAAGAAAACAAAAAATAATACAATAATAACTTAAATGTCTCATCAACAGTAATATGTACAAGTCTGAGTAGCAGCAACAATACTGTTGCAGCATTAGTTGGATTCAGTGCAGGTCATTATTGTAAGCAGAATTTTTGCATATTGAGTGAATTAAAAAAGCACATATGATTGTTATTGCACATGATCAATATAGATCAGTATATGTGTGGTTCGAGTTTACAGGTTCATCTGGTTTGGTGGTTGTTTACTACAGTGATGGCTCTGGGAAAGAAGCTATCCCTGAATCTATTTGTCCTGGTTTTATGCTGAAGACTCTCAGCTGTACATTCCTGTCGGCAGCTGAGCACCCATACCATGTTGTGATGCCGTACGCTAAGGTGCTATTATGGTGGCTCTGTAGAAGGTCACTAGCAGCCTCTCCTCCAGGTTGTTCCTCCTGAGCACTCTCAGGAAGTGGAGATGCTGATGGACCTTTTTCACCACTGACGTAGTATTAGCAGTCCAGGAGAGATCATCAGAGATCTGCAGACCCAGAAACCTCAGGGAGTGTAGCCTTTAGCTTTTGTGGTGTTCAGTTGGAGGTTGTTTACTGAACACCATGCAGTCAGTCTGCTGACCTCTTCTCTATAGTCTGATCCCTTGAGATGAGTCCAACCGCGGTGGTGTCATCTGCAAACTACACTCAACAAAAATATAAATGCAACACCTTTGTTTCTGCTCCGATTTTTCATGAGATGTGGACTTAAAGATCTAAAATTCATTCCAGATACTCAATATTACCATTTCGCTCAAACATTGTTCACAAATCAGTCTAAATGTGTGATAGTGAGCACTTCTGCTTTGCTGAGATAATCCATACCACCTCACAGGTGTGCCACATCAAGATGCTGATCCGACATCATGAGTAATTCACAGGTGTACCTTATACTGCCCACAATAAAAGGCCACCCTGGAATGAGCAGTTTTGTCTCACAGCAAAATGCCACAGATGACACAAGCATTGAGGGAGCGTGCAATTGGCATGCTGACAGCAGGAATGTCAACCAGATCTGTTGCTTGTGCATTGAATGTTCATTTCTCCACCATAAGCCATCTCCAAAGGCGTTTCAGAGAATATGGCAGTACATCCAACCGGCCTCACAACTGCAGATGACGTTTAACCACACCAGCCCAGGACCTCCACATCCAGCAGGTTCACCTCCAAGATCGTCTGAGACCAGCCACTCAGACAGCTGCTGAAACAATTGGTTTGCATAACCAAACAATTTCTGCACAAACTGTCAGAAACCGTCTCAGGGAAGATCAACTGCATGCTCATCATCCTCATCGGGGTCTTGACCTGACTCCAGCTCGTTGCTGTAACAGACTTGAGTGGGCAAATGCTCACATTCAATGGCATCTGGCACGTTGGAGAGGTGTTCTCTTCACGGATGAATCTCGGTTTACATTGTCCAGGGCAGATGGCAGATAGCGTGTGTGGCGTCATGTGGGTGAGCGCTTTGCTGATGTCAATGTTGTGGATCGAGTGGCCCATGGTGGTGGTGGGGTTATGGTATGGGCAGACATCTGTTATGGACGAAGAACACAGGTGCATTTTATTGATGGCATTTTGAATGCACAGAGATACCGTGATGAGATCCTGAGGCCCATTGTTGTGCCGTACATCCATGAACATCACCTCATGTTTCAGTAAGATAATGCACAGCCCCATGTTGCAAGGATCTGTACACAATTCTTGGAAGCTGAAAATGTCCCAGTTCTTGCATGGCCAGCATACTCCCTGGACATGTCACCCGTTGAGCATGTTTGGGATGTGCTTGGCTGCCGTATACAACAGCTTGTACCAGTTCCCACTAATATCCAACAACTTCGCACAGCCATTGAAGAGGGGTGGACCAACATTCCACAGGCCACAATTGACAATCTGAAAAATTCTATGCAAAGAAGACGTGTTGCACTGCATGAGGCAAATGGTGGTTCTGAGTCCCCAGACCCCCAATAAAGCAAAAAACTGCACATTCCAGAGTGGCCTTTTATTGTGGGCAGTATAAGGTACACCTGTGCTCTACTCATGATGTCAGATCAGCATCTTCATGTGGCACACCTGTGAGGTGGGATGGATTATCTCAGCAAAGCACAGGTGCTCACTATCACACATTTAGACTGATTTGTGAACAATGTTTGAGAGAAATGGTAATATTGTAGCCTAGTGAACTAGACCAAATTCTTGCTTTGCAAAGAATGGTCTAGGCATGCTCCATTGGAACATCAGCAGCTCCTACCAGGACTCTGGCTGGCCAATCACAGCTCTCTAGAGGGGTTTCAAACACATAAAGAGCTGTGAATGGTCCATAATGAAGGGCCAATCATAGTGCTCTATCTGCTTAGTGAACAAATCACAGAGCTTTATCCGCTTTGTGGGCCAATCAGGGCACTCTATATGCCTGGTGGGTGGGATGATGCAACAGAGTGAAACAAGAGTATGTCACATTCATTGTCCAGTGGAATGTGGAGATCATTTGAAAGACAACGGTAGAACCCGCCCCACAACCGAGAGCTGTCAGTGGAGCATGACCAGACTAAATAATACATTTATTTAGTCTGGCTTGCCAGGCTAGTAATATTGTGTATCTGAAATGAATTTTAGATCTTTAAGTCCATCTCATGAAAAATCGGAGCAGAAACAAAGGTGTCACGTTTATATTTTTGTTGAGTGTATGATGGTGTCTGATGGGTTGGGGAGCTGTCAGTGGTGGTGGTGGTGGTGGTGGTGGTGGGGGGGGGGGGGGGGGGGGGGTAGAGTGTATACAGGAGGGGACTCAGAAAACATCCTTGTGGAGAGCCGGTGCTGAGTGTGATGGGTAGAACATGTGGGGCCGAGTCCGACAGGTGGTCTTTTTGTCAGGAAGTCCTTGATCCAGAGGCAGATGGGGAGGAGAGGCCCAGCTGAGATCTCCAAGATGATGTAGAAAATAGAAGGAATAATGCAGCTTCAGACATTTCCAAATATAACCCTGGTGAATAATTTTAGGGAAGTAAAACTGTCTTTACAGGAAACTGGAAAAATGGCAGAAAACAAAACTAGACGAGAAAATAATTCAAACAAAAGTGTAACTGTTTTGAGTATCAAGGCTAAATCGAGGGGAAATAGAGAAACTAGAATTAAAACGTCAGCCATTATTATTTTATTAGTAATATAACACACACTGCATTCATATTAACACAACTTTTATTGCTTCAAATGAATAAATATTGAAATAGTTCATTTTTTTTCTTGGTGTGAGCATTAAAGGGTTACAGGTTTTTCTATTCTGATGTGTATCTGACCATCGAGAGAGCTTTAGGGAAGTTAGTTTGAGGCGTGTAAAAATTACCCTTCATCAGACATTAACTCTGAGGAGTTTAGCCACATCCTGATAAAAGTGATTGCTCAAGTGTGCAACATGTGACGCCGAGTCACCGTGGCCCCGAACGCAGGACTGGAAGACGAGATAACGCCTGTTCTACGGATCTCTGAATTAGACCCAAGGATGAGAATCTTAACCAAGTGTGAAATTTTTTTTCACACTTACTGAGCTATAAAAAAGAGAATGAAGCAAACAAATGGCCACCATTGTGTAAAATAAACTTTATTTTTCCAAAATGAATCGATCAACTTGTACATTTTCTGTTACAAACAATCGATTTGTGTGTTCTGTTTCTGTTAAAACCTCAAAGTGTTTGAGTTTAGGCACAAGCTGTTTATTAAATATATATAAAAACAGCTCAGATGGGCTTTAATGCACTGTTTATGTTCTCTGTGTCATTAGTTCAGACCACAGGGTTGGCGTCTGTAGGCCGCTACTGTTCCACAGTGTACTGAAACGTATGTGGTGAGGAGAATAATACGTTTATGTCACTAATAAGTGTTTAGAGAGGCAGAGAGCATCAGATTAATGTGTTCATTAAAGAAATTAGAGCCTAGCACGAGTCCAGTTTATGAATAAGAGGCTTAAATGAAACAAATTGAAACAAGTAAAACATTTTTTCTTTGATCGGTTAAAAGAAAACTTTACTTCTTGTTAAAAACCTGAAGTGCATCTGTGTTCCTTTTATAGTTTGACTTAAGCACGAAAAGGAAGTGTGTCACATGAAAGTGTCTCAGCGATTATAAAGTTCATATGGAAGAAAAACAAAAACACTTCTGAACCCCAGAAGCTTCAGCGCTTGAATCTTTTTGTATTTCTGTGTTTATGAATAAATACTAAGTACAGCTGATTTAGACTAAAGTACTTTCATGTTTAAGTTATTATTCTAGCGTTTGGAGTGAACTAAATAAAAGGATCTTTGTCAATAGTTTAAGGAAGCTACTCTATCTTGGATCATAAAGGGACTTTATGGCGCTGTAAGTCAGCTGAACGGTTGTTAACCTTTAACCTGGAGATATCAAAGCAAACAAAACCTGTCGCTCATTAAACACACAACACGTAAATTTCCAAACGTCTGAGGAAAAACCTGCTAATGCGATGGAATTATCTCTAAAGGGAGCAGCCGACCAAAGCTGTCAGGGACGTTTGAAGGCTTAATAACACAGATTAATGCTGCATTTAATAGAGAAAATGTGTAAATCAGTAAAACGTGTAGTTTCAATCAGATGGTTTAATTAATGTTTATTCAAGTGGGAACATTTTAGCTTCAAATGTCTTTCAAAGCAAAACTGTTTCATGCATTTTGGTTTCAATAAACCAACATGCAAAAATAAGTTTTTCTATTTTATAAACAATTTTAGATAATCAGGAAAAAAGAGAAATATTATTTTAGTTCCACTTAAAAATAGGCACAATGATCATAGATCTGTTTCAGTGTAT